ACTTGCTTCCTCCATTTCATCCCTAGCTATATGCCCTTAGCAACTTACGTTTTTATTTCTTCATTATTTGATGGAACTACTCTTACCCGTAAGAGAAATAGCAGAGGCTCTAAATACATGAGAGTCTTTACGGTTTCCGAATTTGTCGTCTTTGTGCAAAAGAATACCAAGTAATTCCCTTTCAATAGTGTCTCCCAAAAGGTACATCACGTCTCCCCGACCCTTCAAAAATACAAATGCTGGGCAAAAGAAAAAGTGTTTAATTTGATCATCGCCGCGCTGATGCATTAGGGGTAATGCACACAAAGACGTAAAGTAGCACCTTACTAACGCGGTCCCTTCTGCATCCCACCCGCAGCCTCGCGGGGACCTTGGCGCAGCGCTCCCAGCAAACCCGGCGGTCTCGGAGGGGCGGGGACGACGCCTCCGCGCGGGGTGGGCGGGGCTACGGCGCTTCCGGCCCCACCCCACCCCCGGCGCGGGGCCGGTGCCTGCGTCGGGGGAGGAGTCTTGTCCCTCCGCGCGGCCCGTCCTTCCTCAGCGCCTGCTGCCTGCGGGCTGACGTGTCTGCGGTTCCCCGGCGTCTCGGCAAGCAGGGCCGCCATGGCGGACGCCTGGGAGGAGATCAGGCGGCTGGCGGCCGACTTCCAGCGGGCGCAGTTCGCCGAGGCCACGCAGAGGTGCCCGACCCTCCCTCTCCTCGCTGGCGTCCGAAGTAGCCCCTGGGCGGCCGCGCCACGATCGGAGGCCGCGATCCCCTGCCTGGACCCCGGGCCTTCCCGGCCTGTCCCTCCTCCCAGAGCTGGGACTGTGGGTCCGTGGGCCGCTCTCGGCGGGGAAGCCCGCAACCTGCTGCGCCCCAGAGCACCCCTCCGTACCCCGGCGATGGCGCCGCCGCCAACTCCCAGCGCCCCTCTCGATCCTTCGCGTCATCAGGCCACTAGCCTCAGGGCCCCTTATGCACTGCCTGATCGAGAATGAGCTTCAGTGGGGAGGCTTACCCCAAAATGCAGTCGACTGTAAACATTTTGCCCTTTTTCTCCACTGAAACTTGTTGTCAGGCCAGACCCATGGTCCCATCTGTCACTTTTAGGGACTCCCAGACACTGACATTTCCTACAGATGACTAACCTTTGGGGGATGTGTCCGGAGCACCCCAACTCTGTTTCTCCATGTTACAGCTACACTTACGCTAATAGAATCCTTTTTTATCCTTCGACGATTTCCTACCTTGTTGTATTGTTCTTTCTGGCGCTGAGGACCTGAATCCCTTGATGTTATTTTGTAGCGGGCAGAGCAAACCAAAGCCCATACTTAAGTGGCTTGGCAGTCGCAGTTATGGTTTTTCCAGGCCAGATCTCCAGTTTACAGACAAGTTGTATGAGTGAAACACTCATACGCTTAATTTGAAAGAATTTTTTAAAACAATTTAGATTGCAAATTGAAGTAAAAGTAGGGGTGTTTTTTCTTAGTTTTTTTTACCCTGCCTTAGTTATATAGCCTCACTTTTCTATTCAGATTTGAACATTAGAAGCTGACTTAGAAGAAAAAGCAAACTGGAAATTCCTAAAAGGATTTGTGCCGAAGCACGTGATTTAAAGTGCATGTAAACCTGCTTACTTCCAAGGGTTTTTTAAAAATGTATTGAATCAGTATTGTTAAACTAATAAAAGATACAGATTTTGTAATATAGATCCCAGTGATTCTTCACTCAGACTTTTTCAAAAAGCCCATTTTCATACCTTCTGTTAATCTTATTTGAGCACCAAATGCATCAAGTGCATTTTTACAACTTAATTTGTCTTGTTTCCTTCAGGTTGTCAGAGCGGAACTGCATTGAGATTGTGAATAAATTGATTGCTCAGAAACAGCTAGAAGTAGTTCACACACTTGATGGAAAGGAATATATTACCCCGGCCCAAATTAGTAAAGAAATGAGAGATGAGCTACACGTCCGAGGTGGTAAGTAATGCCTTAGTTTTTTTTTTTCTTCTAGTTCTTTGGAAGGAGAAAAAAACTTGAAACCTTTAAATAATAAAGTATTGGAGGTTATTGGACACCCTTCTTTACTGTTAGTATGGTAACCAGCCTTAATATTTTTAATAGGTTTGGGTAAACATGATTATATAATTTAAATAAAGTCAAGTATTATCACTACAAAATAGCAGTTTTTAAAAAATTTTTAGTTATGTTTTGTATATGTGAATTAATTTTATTTTCAAAGTTCATGAATATATTGACTGATTCAGGGGAGGATACTTAGCTGCCACTTGTCAGGTGGTAAGAAAGGGGAACAGAGATTTTAAAAGATTACAAGCTTTTGCACTACTGTGCTTTTTTTTTTTGGTTATTATGTATTTGCAAATTAGAAAACAATATGGTGCTACACCTATTTTATTGTAGGAAATTCTATTACAAGTACATAAAGGTTTTGTTTTCTTTTGTCTTTTTAAAATTGAGCAAATCTAACACTATTTGATTAAAGTAGAAACACCTCTGAAAACGCTTTTGATCAGATGTTATCACATATACCCTGGGTGACTGTTTATCTCCCTGTATAGTGCTAATGAAATATTAACTATGATTTGGAATACTTAAGAGATTTTTCTTTTGCTAATAAGTGGAAATTCAACATTTTCAAATAATTGAAAAAAGCTTATCTGAATTTAATTTTAAGTTCTCTTTGGTCACAATCAATTAATTATGGAGAGAAATACCCTCCGTAAGTCTGGCCAATTTGCCTATTTGTTGATGCTCATAGTTGGCCTGATGTGACAAATGATACTTTAAGAATAAATTATTGCCTAGGCCTTAAGCCATGAAGACTTACTCAGTTAATGGTTTGTTTGATATTTGAAGACATTAATTATTGTGGTTCTGTGTCCTTTGCAGAAGGAGAACTTCTGTCCAAAATGTAAATCAGTTAGAATTTACAGTTTGGGGCTGGTGTGTATTTAAACATAATTTAAAATGAATGTCTTTTCTTTAAAGGTCGAGTAAACATTGTTGATCTGCAACAGGTAAATTTTAAATTTATAAAAATTCTTTCCCTTGATTTTTCAATTTCTTGGTACTGTGAGTATTTTCAATACCTTAAATATTCACCAATACTGATAATCATATTTTGTATAATGTTTATGAAGAAATATGTAACTGATACATTTAATCAGTTTAGTAAGTTGTCATATTGAATTGATTTAATAAGTTCTCAGTTGACTGACTTATTCTTTATTTACCAAATAAACTCAGAGTTATTATTTTATGTAATTACAGGGTTTATGTAATTTGGGGAGAAAAATCAGTAGGTTGATGTTTACTTGTTTTTAGTATGTGGAAGGAATAGAGAAATATAAAGAAACTAGAAGTATTTTTAGAAAGTACAATTGTACAGGTCACCATGGCATACTATATACAAGTAGCTGACGAATCTTGTCTGATATTGTATCTGTTTGTCATATGAATATGTAACTTAACTTCTTTTTTTTTTTTTTTATTGAAGGGTAGTTGACACACAGTATTACATTAGTTTCAGGTTTACAACACAGTGATTTAACATTTATATACATGATAATTCTAGGTACCAACTATCACCATACCCAGTTGTGTAACTTACTTCTTAATACAAACTTTCTGAGCAAGTAAAATTGTAATTGTTCAGCAATGAAAATAAATAAGTAATAAGCCCTACTTTTTTATTTGACTTGAGGCTTTTTATAGTTTTTCAAGTCAATTTGAAATGTACCCTAAAGTCAGTTTTTTAAAAAGATGGTGCTAAGTAGATAATTTCAGACTTAAGAAACAAATATGAACTTATCACTAATGGAATTTATATTTATTTTCCAGGCAATTAATGTGGATCTGACTCATATTGAAAATAGAATTGGTGACATTGTTAAGTCAGAAAAGCATGTTCAGCTAGTGTTGGGACAACTGATAGATGAGTAAGTACAATATTTAAGAGTGTTTTTTGTTGTGTTTTTTTTTATAAGGTTTGTGTTTAAATTAGCAGAACTGTGGCTAGTTCTGCATTTTGTTTAGAATTCTTATAGTGCTTATTTTCATTATAGGGATGTACTTAAAAATTAAATGCTTAATTGTGTGGAGCACTTAGAAACAATATAAGCTTTGATTTTTTTTCTATTAAAGCAACACAAAATATAATTTTTACTCTTTTTTATGTGATCTTTATTCTCAGAGCAAATTTGCTGAAAAAATATTCATGAAAAATGCCTTCAGACTTTACATTATTAAAAAGACTCTGCATTTATCATTTGGTTAACCTTATATTTAGTTGTTTGATAAGAAAAAATAACTTTCAGAATATGAGTAATGTGTAATATTTTTGTAGACAGACCCTATTCATTACTTTGGGGCATATCTTATTGCCACAGAAATTACACATGAGGGATAGAAGGAAATTATTCCTAATTTGTTTTTCTTTCTTCTTTTTTCTTTTTTCTTCACATTAGGACCTATTTGGATCGGTTAGCAGAAGAGGTAAATGATAAATTGCAAGAAAGTGGTCAGGTAACCATATCAGAACTGTGTAAAGCTTATGATCTTCCTGGAAACTTTCTGACGCAGGTATTTTTCTTAATAGTATAATGTATCTTTTCAGATGAATAAAGAATAAAGAATTTTAATGGAAAAAGTAAAATTAGACTTTTTTACAATTGATTTTTTTGCAAGCACTTGACTACTGATACAGCAATACACTTTGGGGATACTTCTTGTACATTGATGGCTCTGATGAAACCATTTAGAAACTATCATGACTTTTGTGAGCCCAGAGATACCCTAAAAAAAATTAATAGACTAGGTTCTAGGCCTGCTTTGGTGCAGTAGCAAGTATACCGAGTTCATAGTTTTATTTAATGCTTCTGATATCAACTAAACAGAAACTTGAACCAGGATATCTGTAGTTCTGATGCCCAGTTATATTTCAAATAACTAATGAAGATTGTCATTTGGAGGAGGTGTTATTGGCATTTTATGGGGTAAAGGTTAGTGATGCTGCTAAGCATGCTACAGTAATGCACAGGACATACCTCCCCTGAACAAAGAATTGCCTTGTCCACAATGTCAGTAGTACAACATCTGGTGATGGCACCATTTTTTCTCTTCTAAAGTGTGGCTATGATAGGGAGAACCAAGGAATCTCTTATAGTCTTTCAATTTTAGGTACTTATGTCAATACCCAAATATCTTGATTTGTAGTATAATCATAATACTACCTAACAGTAGAGGCTAGTCCCTTGTTTGTTTTCTTTCTTTTTTTTTAAATAGTTTGACACTTTAGCCGTAGGGATGTCCATTTTGTACAGTGGTAAGTATACGTTCTTTGGAGTTAAACAGTCCTTGATTGGAATTCTGTCTCTTCCAGTGCCTATTCTGTGTTAGAAAAATTATTTCATCGCTTTTATGCTTCAAGTTGCATATCTGTCCAATGGGAATAAGTATCTTTTTCATAATCTTCATTGAGGTTATATACATAGTGTATCTAGTGAAGTATCTGGCACAGTGGAGGCACTCAGTAAATGAAGGTTTTGTTTTGTACTGACTGGAACAAATAATGAAAAAGTGAAATCTATTTTTAAATATACATCCAGAAGCTGCCTATGTCCAGAAATGGTTCATCAGTCATTTTTATTTTACATTGGAAATAGCCCCAAGTAGTTAAGCCTTTTAAGATATCAGCAATTTGACTTACTTAGTTCTTGGCTCTGCTGCGAGATTATGAAGTTTCCTAGGTCCAAAATCTTGATTTTTAGCTTATATATCATGTGACTTTAGGCTTTTGAAATTTCTCAATCATATGATTAATGTAACATCAGCCTGCAGCATAATTTTGTAAGACTATGCAAGCGTGTATATGTAATTTTGTTCTTTCAAATTAATAAAAATTTGCATCTTTGCCCCCAGGCACTAACTCAGCGGCTAGGTAGAATTATTAATGGACACATTGATCTTGATAACAGAGGAGTAATATTTACTGAAGCTTTTGTAGCTCGACATAAAGCACGCATCCGTGGACTGTTTAGTGCTATTACCCGGTAAGCATGTTTTAAAATATGTGTATTTGTACATGTCTTTGATCATGGCTTGCATATTTTTTTAGCAAAATCCATTCAGAATTCTAGTTTTTAAACAGATAGAAAAGGAGCTTCTATGAATCGGGAGTGGGGGTTCTAGAGCCCTAGACTGTAGCTAAACTCTCTCCAACCTACATCTCCTCTCCCAAACCCTCCCCACCTTCTTGACCAAAAGATGCTCTTCTGCAGAACACCCACGTCAGTATATAAAGTCACCCTGTAACCGTGTACAGAGTGTGCAGCTTAAAGTCAAGAAGTCCTTGGGTCAGAGCTCTATTACTTAGTAGCTATGTGACCTTGAGCAGATAAGTCAGTCACTTAACTTCTTTGGCCTCAGATAGGGCTAGATGATTTTAAAACCCCTTTTCACTAAATACCAGTCTATAATTCTAATGAATAACGATGTTACTTGCAAAATCACTTTAACTTTTCTAAAACAAGAATCTCCGAAATGTTTGGGGTCAGTGCAACAAACTTTAGTGTGCAATTAAGAAAGCCTACATTTTCAATTATCTTCTTTCTCCTGTGTCGTTAACTTTTATCTCAGTGGGTTTTGGGTCCCATCAGCATTTAAATATGTCCATATTTCTCCCATTTTAAAATAGTCAAACCTCAACCCCAAATTCCACTCTGTCTACCATGTTGTTCAAGGAAACTTGAAGTGAACTTCTCAGGAGTTGATGGCTACATTTACTGTCTCAGTGTTCTTACCTTCTGTTGCTTCTAAACTCACCCATCTGGCCTCAGCTGCTTATGGAGCAATGATGTCAGTATCATTAAATCATATGGCTGCCTTCTGTCCTTGTATACTTGACTTGGCAGCAGCATTTAACTCCAGTTATGCCTTCCTTCTTAAAGTGTTCTCGTCCCTTTATTTTGACACCACACTTTACAAGTTGCTTTTTCCTCTTTTGGCTGTGCCTTCTAAGTTCCCTTTTTTGGCTCTTTCTTCTTTCTCTAGCCTTTAAAGTTCTGTTTCAGGCCATCTTTTTTCCCTCAGGCCTGCACTGTCTTCCTAGGTGATTTAACCTTTCCTTTATTTTAGACTCACAGTACTTACACAGCATCTTTAGTGAGACATTTTACAAGTGCCTCAAATTCACCGTATTTACAAAAACTCACTATTCTTGAGCTATCCCACCCCAGTACTCCACCTGAATTTTTCCTTCCATTTGTGTTTCCATTACCAGTAAATGTTATATCTGGCTGAGTTTGCCAAAAACCTGCAAGTCATCCTTACAGCACCCTCTCTTTCACCTTCTGTTCCCAAACATAAAGGCTTTTGATTTCTGTATTCTAAATAGTTACAGAGTTTTTACTTTTCTGACATCACCATTCCCATCACTTCAGTGCATTTTTTGACTTAGACTATTCTGGTAGCTTTCTAACCAGCCCCTTTCTACGCATATTACCTTCTTGGACTTTTTTACATGGCAGCCACAGTGATTTCTTTTTGTCTCTTAACAAATCAAAAGCATTTATCAAGCACCTAACACATGCAAGGCACTAATGGCACAAAAGGATAGGAGGTTAGAAGGGAAAGTTTGCAACTTAACACAATTTTCTTTGCTCCACATGTGCTCTGACAGCTTGCACCAGATTACCCTCCTAACCCAAGAAACTGGTAATGGTGGTTGTTGCTGGGAGAGTAACTAGATAGCTGAGTGATGGAAATGTAGGAAATACTATTTTCTATATTTTTTGTACCCTGTGCATATATTACTTAGTCAAAATATTAAAACTAAAAATTTTTTTCCTACAGACAAATATTTATCTTTTTTCTTTGAGTAATTATTGTGGTGAGTATAGTTATCCCGTTCAGCAAATAATGTTTTTTCAGACTCAAAGTAGCCCTGAATTTCTCTACATGGAGGTCTTATCAAATCATGAGGGCAGAACAAATTCTGAGCCTTAAAAGATGTGGCTAGGCTGTGTGGCTTCCAAATAGTTCCATTTAATGTACAGTCTCCGTATTTACATGTTTTATCAGGAACCACCCCATTCTTCTGGTCTAAGTTCAAAGAAAACACTGTATCTCTGATTCAGAGAGAGTTTAATGACATGAGAGTAGTCAGAAAGAAGAGCAGGGAGTAATTGATGAGAAGAGGGAGGCACACGATAGGAACACTAAACTGTAGTGTGTTCCTGATTGAAATCGAAGTTCAGCAGCTAAGTTATGTACCCAGAACTCTTAAGTCCTTCAAGAGAGATTAAACATTTCCCATATAAATGAAGGCTGAAGGAATTCATAACCACTGAACTGCCACTACAGGATGTTAAAGGGACTTCTACAGATGGAAATGTTCCTAAGCCTACACCAGCAAAAATAAACCTACAGTAAAGGCAGAACACCAATTAGTTACCAAGCAACTATGAAATTAAAACAAAAGTACTAAAACTAACTATGCACAAAATCACTTAAGGGATACTCAGAAATGCAGATTGTAACATCTAATACATAAAGTGAGGAGGAAAAAGAAGAAAAAAAGTACTTTTAGATTGTCTTTGAAATAGAGCAATCATCAGTTTCATATAGACTGTTATATAGTTAGAAAGCTTTCCTTGAACCTTATGGTAACTGCAAACCTAAAGCCTATAACAGATACAGAAAAAATTCAAAAAGAGGAATCCAATCACAATGCTAAAGAAAACCATCAAATAACAAGAGATGAGTATAAGAGAGGAAGAAAGGAATAGAGAGGACCTATAAATAGCCAGAAAACAATTAATAAAATGGCAGTACGTACATACCTATCAATAATTATCTTAAATGTAAATGGACTGAATGCACCAGTCAAAAGACATAGAGTGGCAGAATGGATAAAGAAGCAAGACCCATCTATATGCTGCCTATAAGAGACCCATTTCAGACCCAAAGATATATACAGACTGAATGATAAGGGATGAAAAAAGATACAGCAGGAAGAAAAAGGAGTAGCAGTGCTTAGACAAAATACTTCAAAACGAAAGTATCAAGAGACAAGAAGGACATTACATAATGATAAAGGGGTCAGTCCAACAAAAGGATATAATCATCATAAAAATCTCTGCACCCAACATAGGAGCACTTAATATGTAAACAAATACTAACAGAATTAAAGAGGGAAATAGACTACAACTCACTTATATTACTAGACTTTAACATACCACACATCAATAGATCAACCAAACAGAAAATAAATAAGAAAATAGAGGCACTGAACAACACATTAGAGAGATGGACTTAACAGATATCTACAGAACATTCCACCCAAAAGCAGCAGGATACACATTTTTCTCAAGTGTGCATGGAACATTTACCAGATTAGATCATGTACTAGGCCACAAAAAGAACCTCAATAAATTCACAAAGAAGACAGAAAAGCCCACAAACACATGGAGGCTAAACAACATGCTTCTCAATAATCAGTGGGTCAATGAACAAATTGAAACAAATCAAGTAATGTGTGGAAACAAATGAAAACAAAAATTGAACAGTCCAAAATTTGTGGGATGCTGTAAAAAGCAGTTCTAAGAGTACATAGTGATACAGGCCTCCTTCAAGAAACAGGAACAATCCCAAATAAAGAGTCTAAACTCACAACTGAAAAAACTAGAAAAAGAAGAACAAATGAAACACAAAGTTATTAGTAGACGGAGGGACATAATAAAGATCAGAGCAGAGCTAAATAAAATAGAGGATTAAACAATAGAAAAAAACAATGAAACCAAGAGTTGATTCTTTGAGAAAATAAACAAAATAGACAAATCCCTAGCCAGACTTACCAAGACAAAGAGTATACAAACAAAATCAGAAATGAAGAAAACACAATGGATACCACAGCAATACAAAGAATTATTAGAGAATTTATGAAAAATTATATGCCAATAAGTGGATAATCTAGAAGAAATGGATAAATTCTTAGAAAAATTCAACCTTCCATGACTGACACAGGAAGAAACAGAAAATCTAAATAGACTGATTACCAACAATGAAAATGAATTAGTAATCAAAAACTCCCAACAAACAAAAGTCCAATACCAGATGTCTTCACAGCCTAATTTTACCAAACATTTAAAGAAGAATAATACCCATCCTTAAAAGTATTCCAAAAGATTGAAGAGGAGGGAATACTTAAAAACTCACTCTGTAAGGCCAGGATCACTCTTAATACCAAAACCAGATAAAGACACTGCAAAAAAGAAAATTACAGACGTATATCTCTGATGAACATAGATGCAAAAATCCTCAACTAAATATTAGCAAACTGAATTAAAAAATACATCAAAAGGATCATCCATCATGACCAAGCGGGATTTATTGCAGGGATGCAAAGATGGTATAATATTCATAAATCAATCAACATCATAAACCACATTAACCAAAAAAAAAGATAAAAATCACATGATCATCTCAATAGATGCTGAAAAAGCATTTGACAAAATTCAACATACATTCATGATAAAAACTCTCAACAGAATCAGTATAGAGGGTACATACTTCGACATGATAAATTCCATGTGCAACATACCCACAACTAACATCATACTTAGTGGTGAAAAGCTGAAAGCTTTTCCTCTAAGATCAGGAATGAGGCAAGGATGCCCACTCATCACTTTTATTCAACACAGTACTGAAGGTCCTAGCCATGTCAATCAGACAGGATAAGATAAAAGGCTTCCAAATAGGTAAGGAGGAAGTTAAATTGTCAATATTTATAGGTGACATGATATTATATGTAGAAAACCCTAAGGACTCCACCAAAATCTATTAGAACTAATAACTGAATTCAGAAGAGTTGCAGGATACTAAATGAATAAACAAATCTATTGCATTCCTATATGCTAACAACAGACTAGCAGAAAGAGAAATCAGGAAAACAATTCCTTTTACAATTGCATGAAAAAGAATAAAACACCTAGGAATAAACCTAACCAAGGAGGTGAAAGACCTGTACTCTGAAAACTAAGAAACTTGAGAAAAAGTAAAGAAGACACAAATAAATGGAAATATATCCCATGCTCATGGATTGGAAGAATTAGTATTGTCAAAATGGCGATCCTGCCCAAAGCAATTTCTCCGATTCAGTGCAATCCCTATGAAAATACCAACAGCATTTTTGAATGAACTAGAACAAATAATACTAAAATTCATATGGAACCACAAAAGACCCTGAATAGCCAAAGCAATCCCAAGAAAGAACAAAACTGGGGATATTATGCTCTGTGACTTCAAGCTATATTAAAAACTACAGTAATCAAAACAGTTTGGTACTGGGACAAAAATAGACCTGTAGATCAATGGAACATAATAAAGGGCCCAGGTGTAAACCCATGCATATATGGTCAGTTAATACAGGATAAAGGAGTCATGAATATACAGTGGGGAAAAGACAGCCTCTTCAATAGCTGATGCTGGGGAAACTGGACAGCTGCATGCAAAAGAATGAAACTGGGTTATTGTCTAACTCCATACACAAAAGTAAGCTCGAAATGGATATAAGACATGAAACCATAAAACTCTTTTAGAAGAAAACATAGGCAAAAATCTCTTGAACATAACCATGAGCAATTTTTTCCTGGACACATTTCCTTGGGCAATGGAAACAAAATGAGCAGTAGGACTACATCAAACTAAAAAGCTTCGGTACAGCAAAGGACACCATCAGCAGAACAAAAAGGCAACCTATAGTATGGGAGAATATATTTATAAATGATTTATGTGTTAAAGAGTTAACATCCAAAATATATAAAGAACTCATATGCTTCAACACCAGAAAACAACCTGATTAAAATGTGGGTGGAGGACCTGAACAGACATCTCTCCAAAAAGAAATACAGATGGCCAACAGTCACATGAAAGATGTTCCACACCGATAGTCATCAGGGAAATGTAAATTAAAACCACAAGGAGATAACTCATAGCAGTTAGAATGGTCACTATCCAAAAGATAAGAAATAACAAGTATTGGCAAGACTGTGGAGAAATGGAAACGCTGCTACACTGTTCGTGGGAATGTAAGTTGGTGTAGCCACTATGGAAAGCAGTATGGATGTTCCTCAAAAAACTAAAAATAGAAATAACATATGACCCCATAACTCCACTTGTAGGCATTTACACAAAGAAAACAAAATCCCTGATTCGAAAAGATACATGCACCCCTGTTTTTCACTGCTTTATTTACAGTAGCCAAGTTACAGAATCAGCCTAAGTGTCCATCAGTAGATGAATGTATAAAGATGTGGTTCATACACACAATGGAATATTATTCACTCATAGAAAAAGAAATCCTGCCATTTGTGACAACATGGTTGGACCTGGAGGTTATTATGCTCATTGAAATAACCCAAGTGGAGAAAGATAAATACCGTATGATTTTACTTATTTGTGGAATCTGAAAAACAAAACAGGATGAACAAACATCTGTAGACTCACAGACACTGATAAGTGACTCGTGGATACCATTGGGGGCGAAGTTGGAGTGGGTGGGTGAGAAGGGTGAGGGGGATAAAGGGGCACAAAAATACTCAATTATAATAGAAGTTGGTCACAGGGATAGTAGTACAGCATGGAAAATATAGTCAGTGATTCTGCAACATCTTCCTGTGTTGGCAGGTAGTAACTATACTAGTGGTGGTGATGATTTAATAATATGGGTAATTGTTGAACCAATATGTTGTATACTTGAAATGAGTATAAGATTGTCTATCAATACTTCAGTTAGAAAAAGAAAGATTAATTTATGTTCTTAGAAAAAAGAAAAGGAAAAAGTCCTTCAGGAAGTCCTCTGCATTTTAGTAGGAATGTGTTCAGGTAGAAGGGAACAGAAAACACACAAAAAACAAAACAGGAGAAGGTTGTAATAATTTCAAGATAAACAGAAGAGAGCAAACTGCACGTAATTGTTTTGGAGGCTCATGATAGTTTAGCTAAAAATTTTGAGTAAAACAATTTAATGAAAAAAAGTTGATCCATACAAGAATTTGGTAAAAATTATAATTTAGTCAAAAATCCCAGCCACAGGAATTGTGTCAGTTCATATCCAGACACTGTTTCTGCTCTCCGAAGTCTGTCATAGAGGAAATTTATAACATCTTAAATAGTCAACAATAAAAGATCAATTAGGTAGAGTAACTTAAAAATCTTTTGAATATATGTATAAAAGATAAAAACACAGCCCAATCCCAAACCAGAGAACAGGCAACTGGCTTGAAGGGAATAGGGTAAAAAAAACTATGGTCAGAAAAAAAGTCTAGTTTCCTTTACTTTAAAAAAAAATTTTTAATTATTATAAAAAACAGCAGTAACAAGGAACTACCTAAAAGAAATGAAAACATATGTCCATACAAAGATATGAACACAGTGTTCATAGCAACATTAATTATAGTAGCCCTAAACTGGAAACAGTCCAAATGTCTATCAACTAATGAATGAGTAAACAAACTGTGGTATATCAATACAATGGAATGCTATTCAGCCACAAAAAGGAATGAATACTGATGATGCGTCATTGTGCATGAACCTCAAAAACATGCTAAGTGAGAAAAGTTGGACACAAGAGACCACATATTGATTCTATTTATATGAAATCTCATTTATAAAGGCAGAAAGGAGGTCAGTGGTTCTCTAGGTCTATGAGTGGCAGCAGGAATTAACTGTAAACCTCTATGAAGGAAACTTCTGGGTGATGGAAACATTCTAAAACCGAATTGTAGTGATTGTTGCTCAACTCTATAAATTTATTAAGATCATTAAATCTATACTTAAAATTGGTTGGATTTATGGTGTGTAAAGTGTACCTCTTCAAAGGTGCCAAAAAGAAAAAAAAAAAAGAAAAGCGTAGTCATTACCAAAAATACTAATAATCAGAAAAGAGCATTTTAAGTGGATCCCTCCTGGTCATCCACCTAATCTGAGAGTGTATCATTTCAGAGTTCTTTTGGTGTTTATATGATCTCATTTTTCTTCAAAAATAGAATCATACAGATTGACTTGACTGTTCCCAGGGGGGGAAAGAGCCTCCCAGATAGAAAGAATAAAACGAAGAAAAATAAACAGAGTAAAGGGCCAGGCAGATAGTCAGATCTATCTGAGGTGAAAGTTTGGTGAGAAAGTAAATTGATCCTACATTGAGAACCCAGATCAATTCTATTAACATTTCTTCTGATTAACTTAAAATTTGGTGCAATTTTTGCCTTCATTTTTTTCTTTTAAATTATTTGGTGCTTTTCATAAACCTAGTTATTTTTTAATTCATAAATATGTGTAACTCTTTAACAAGATATTTCTGTTTTTTGTTTTGTTTTTTTGGGTTTTTTTGCTTTTCGTAAAGGCCTACAGCAGTCAATTCTTTGATTTCAAAATATGGATTTCAGGAGCAGCTTCTTTACTGTGAGTTTGGTTTAAATTACATGTCACTTAATTAGCTACTGAATAGACTATTAATGTAAAATTTACTAAATTAATGTTTTTTACCTCTTTTAATCTCAAAACTCATGTTAAAATATTTCTGGTTGAAAATTTTTTCTATACCAATTTTCACATGTGTCTCTGTTATACCCATCGAACGTTTTGCGTTGACTACCCCCAGAGGAGTGGAATGAAAAAACATTGTGTGTGTGTGTGTGTGTGTGTGTGTGTGTCTGTGTGTCTGTGTGTCTGTGTGTCTGTGTGTCTGTTATGCATATACATGCATAGATTTAAAAGTGTAGGATTAAGAATAATTTCACTTTGTTTCTTATGGACTTTTACTACATTTTCTAATATGAAAGTAAATAGCTTTTGTCTAAAAAAATTTTACACAGAGCTTATAGAAATAAAAATGGATTCTTAACCACTCAAACAGGATGGTAATATCTCCAAAATAATCTTATTTTGTGTATGTGTTCATGAAGCTCTTATGAGGTTTTGAAAGATTTTTTTTTAAACTTTGCTGGAATAGTTTTTAAAAGCCATGACTAATCTTTCCACTCAGGTATCTATGCAAATAAAAGAATTAAAACAGAATAGAAAAGAAATTCAAATACAGAACCAAAAATTAACTTAAATTCACTATATTTTCAGAATATGGAGCTAAATTTAAATGTTGTAAGACAAAATTTAAAAGTAAAATGTGACATATTTTGGAATCTACATAATTTGGGGTTGGTGGGATTTCATTATAATGTCAAGTTCTTCAAGTACTAATTGGTAGCTTGATAACTGATCTGAATTTAGCATGGATTCATGTTATACAGAAAATTTTAAATAATGCGTTGCAGTCTATTGAGAAGTCTAGACTCTTCTGACGTATTCTGATTTAATCAGCATTGAAGTTGTGAAATTCACATGTAAACTAATTTTAATTTCCATTAAAGGGTAATGTTCATAAACCTTTCTTTATGCCAAGCATCTTCTGAATGTGTTTGCTGATTCACTCCTTCCTCTCTGCTTTGTCTTTTTTTAGGGAATTTTAAATAAAAAGCATAGATTTGGTATTAAGAGCACAGCACTGTCCAGTTCTCAGACCAGCATCAGTCTGATGATGGTGGTGGTGGTGGTGGTGGTGATGATATTTAGTAACGTTTATTGAATGCTTATATGCCAGCCACCATTCTAAGCACTTTACTTGAATACAACAATCCGGTGAGATAGGTATTATTATGATGTCCACGTCATGGATGAGAAAATGGAGGCATAAGTAAAATAACTTGCCCGGTGTTTGTTAGCAAGGTGGCAGAATTGAGGTTTGGACTTGGGCTGGCCTGGTGCAGACCCATCCTCCTAACTGTGGCATTATACTTCTTTCCTAGGTAAGGGTCAAGTGTGTTGCTTTAATTTAAACAGCAGAAATGTAATAACATATAAACGTCCATGGCTTAATTTCACACTGTTGATTCTAATGTGATCAAGGTGTCTTAATTGTCCTAAATATGAGAAAATTGAACTTGGTAAAACTAGTGATTGCATATTAACTATTGTCAAAGTATTTAGACATCCACTTTTAAATACACCTTGAGATAAATAATCAAAATTACTCAAACTAAAAAACTAAATGTTAATATAAACTAGTTTGGGTTACAAATTTGGCACCTTTAGCTAGTCACCAAAATTTCCTGAACTTACGACCTGTGTATTCTCATAAAAGGCAATAATGTTTCGTCTAAAATATAGTATCTTCATTAAATTGACTTTTTTAAAGGGTAAGAATAACTAAATTGTGAAATAGTAAAGAAGTTTACTTTTTGAGGTTTATATCTGCTCTAATGTATTTCTATTTGTCTGGTTTTGTTTGAAGCTCTGCTTGAGGAACTTGTTAATACTGGACGTTTGCGAGGCACTGTGGTCGGTGGGAGACAGGACAAGGCAGTGTTTGTCCCTGACATTTACTCCAAAACACAGAGTTCATGGGTGGATTCCTTTTTCAGGCAGAATGGCTATCTAGGTAATTTTTTTTTTCTTTAAAACTAGACTTTCTTGCTAGTATTAACTACATTCTTACAAAGTATTGTATTACCACTGGGGATACACATATACTTCACTGTTGGCCAGCAAAGTATAGCAGTTCTCTTCAGGAATGAAAGTCATCAACCTGCAGGTTTTTGTGTGTCTCAGCACTGAGTTTAATTCCATAGTTATTGAACAGTTTTAATGTAGGAAGCCCACAAGCTCTTACTGATTGTTACCAGCCTTCCAGAGATATGATACTACAACTTCAAGTACTTTTTATGAATGTAAAGAACGTAATATTATGTCTTACATTTTATGAGTTGCCCAGTTTTTCAATTATATAGTCTTAGAAATATTTTATTGGCAATCAACTTCAGTGTTCATTTTTATTAGTTATCCAATACTTCAGAAACATGATGTGATTCTGAATTCCATCTCTGAGGTTCTTATTTGGATAAAGTAGATTGACTGAATTTAGTCATTACAATCAGCAAGTATATATGGAGCACACTTACTTTGATCAATTTCATAACCCAACTCAAAACACTAAGTGGTTTAGTTCCTTTCTCAGTAATAAACCTCATTAGTGTTCAGACAGTTTAAATGTGTGCTAGAATAATGGGCTCTGCTTATGTTTTCTTGAGTTTCCATAAAGTACTTTTCAATTTCTTCAGCTATGTACTTGTATTAGAACTTCATTATCATTAATTTCTTTAATATGATTGGGACAGAGAAAGAACAGTAGACATCTCCAATAACTTTAATGGCTACAAACTTAAGTTTTAATCATTTACTTTTGTTGTACATGCTAAACTTTTACTAGTTTAAATTATGCTGGAGAATTAGTCCTAAACTTTCTGATGAAACATTTGAAAAATAAATTCCATTCCTTTACTTAACTGTAATCAAAATAAATTCCAGTTTTTGTTTCTTAAATTATTCCACTCTCGTTTTACCTGCATTTCTACTTTTATTGCTTCATAGTTCTCATGTTTTCCTTTGACCTTTCAATCCTTTCAATTGAAGAGGGAGTGACACATCTGAGATTGAAGAAGTACTTGATCCAATTTTTCTACAAATGTGTTTAGTAATAAAAATTCAGGAAGTTCACATAACCAGGGAATAAGCTGTTGTACATCTCTATGCTTTATTCTTTAAAAAAATTAGAATGCAGTGGATTCACAAATAGGTTTTGGCAAAACAGCATTTTCTGATATTTCTAAAATGTGTGAATGGTTGATAATTCTTTCTAATTTGGTGATGCCATTTCTAGAATTTGATGCTTTGTCCAGACTTGGAATCCCAGATGCTGTGAGCTATATAAAGAAAAGATACAAGGCTACACCACTCTTGTTTCTGAAAGCAGCTTGTGTCGGTCAAGGACTTGTGGACCAGGTGGAAGCATCAGTAGAGGAAGCCATCAGCTCCGGAACATGGGTTGATATTGCAGTATGTTTTATGTTTTTGTCTTCATTTTTCTGCAAACCAATAACTGACACTTCACTAGTGTACAGACATTTTAAGAATCACAATACATAAAGGCAGTCTTAGCTGTTAGAGCCAAATTCTAGCAGTTATAGTAAGAAAAACAATCTTACTTGTTTTAAACTTAAAGACTTTCTAGTTTTTAAAGTAGAGTGAGTGACCTTTTATATATGGGTAGTCACAATCCAGATTTCTATAACTCTCAAAAATAAGCAAACAATATAATACTCATATCAGTCCTGCCATATGTAAATTGATGAGCCCCCTCACAATCTTATCCAAGTGTTTGCAGATAAGTGGCATCAGGTGCTATGTAGCATTTGTTCATCCCTTATCCATTAATCTCTGCTACTGTATTAACACAGGCTGCTCTAGAACTGATAGTGTCCACTTCACTGTTCAGTACCGACCTGCCTTTATTCCAAAAAGATAAGTGTAGATGAAGAGAAAGAAACAAAAGGCCAATCCATTACTTATTAGTAGGGGCTCAGACTCTCTTCACAAAGCAGAAAATGCCTTTTTTAGGTACACAGGGATGCCAGATATATAAGTGTTTATTTATTCATTCAAGAAACTTTATTAAAGAACCTTTTGTGTACCAGGTCCCATTTTACTTTCTGGGAATGTGGGGTCCAGACAAGTTTCCTACTCTCACTGTGGGGCAGATAGTTAATGAAAATGTTAATTTCAGAGAGTAGAAAGAACTAAGCAGAAATACATTTTGGAAGTAGAATCGCCAGGACTTGACAGTGGACTGTTTGACTTTGTGAGAGGAGCTGAGTGTGACTTGTAGCTTTGGGGGCCTGATCCACTAGGTACCATTAGCTGACAAGGGGGAACAATGGGGAAGAATAGATGGACGCTGGGCATCTGGAGGAAGGCAGCTGCAATCGGTGTCTTTTTGGACATGTTAAATTTGAGATGTCTATTAGGCACGTAAGTGGGGGTGTTAGGGGAGTAGTAGGATATGTGATTCCAGAGCTTAGAGTGACGATGAAGGCAGAAATACGGTCTGGGAGGTTATCAGCATATAGAGAGTTCCGGAAGCCATGGGACTTCATGAAATCCCTGAGGGAGAGCATTTATACAACATAGTGTATCTGTATTATAACTGCATTTATACTTTATTTTCATCTTGTTGGTAATTCTAGCCTCTGCTGCCCAGTTCTTTATCCGTGGAAGATGCTGCAATGCTGCTCCAACAGGTGATGAGAGCATTCGGCAAACAGCCTTCAGCTGTGGTCTTCAGTGACACTGTTGTAGTCAGTGAAAAGTTTGTAAATGACTGCACAGAACTGTTCAGTGAGCTGATGCACCAAAAAGCTGAAAAGGTATGCCGTACTTCCTTTCACCCACTGATGTTAACAGCGTTTCCACATTAGAACCATCAGATGTCATCTGAAGATGGGGTAAGCAGTACACCCAAAAATGAATACTGTGTTTCATGCATCATTTTCCTGCAATGCATCATTACTACTTAATTTCCTCTCCTGGATTTGTTGTTCCCCATCCCCGTCAGGACATGTAAGGTAGAACTTATGTTACTGATTTTATAAATTGAAATCATATAAATGAAATTACACACTTCACAATTAAGTCACCCAAGGATATTAATCCAACGTTAAAATCCACAAAAACAGTATCTGTGGATTATATGCAAAAATATACAGTATACTTATCAATCAGTACACAGTGTATTTACTAAATCTAGCACAGCCTCAATTTTCGTTATCTGAAATGTACAAATAGGATTACTTACTGAAGAAAGAACTTGTTTGTTACTATCAAAATTGATTAGTTCTCAGATAGACGTAGAGGTCATGCCAGGTCTGTTTAATGAGTGTTCAATGTATGTTTTCAGTTAGCAGCACAATCTACTTATAAAGCCTGCTCACAAACAGGTAGAACAATGCCATTTACCTTAGTTATTAGATTGTTCATAAATTCCTGAGGGCCTACTAAGTATGTAAATAAGTTGTAATTATCTATATTCCCTTTATAATTTTTAAGAGTCTAAAAAAATAAGATAGTTCTCTACATTTGGCCTGCTACGTAGCAGGGAGGAGTAAAAAGTGTGCAGGATTGATAACAATAAACCTGAGTTCTAATCACACCTTGTTTACTCTGTTTGACTTTGGACAAACAGACCCCAGAGTCCTCAGAGCAAGGATAGCAATGTTACTCTCAAAAAGACAAATGCAAATAAAGGAGGGATGTATATAAAATGTCTAGTACGTGTTAGCTACCAGTTACTAAATGGCTGCTGCATGATTATTTTTATTTGTGACTTCTTACTAAACTAAAAACTTAACATGGTCACCAATTTTTTTTACCTTGTACTCTCCCTCCAACCAGAAAAATAAATTCAGAAAAAAAAAAAAGATTCTGTTGTTTGAACCATCAACATTCTAAACATTTTTCTTTGGAAGACCAAAAAAAAAATAACCATTTTTAACATGAAAATATACTTTTGTCACTACAGATGTAGAACCTTTTCCCATGATAAAGAACAAGTTTCTGAACTGGAAATAGTGCATTGTTACAATTTTTTTTACCTTGTACTCTCCCTCCAACCAGAAAAATAAATTCAGAAAAAAAAAAAAGATTCTGTTGTTTGAACCATCAACATTCTAAACATTTTTCTTTGGAAGACCAAAAAAAAAAATAACCATTTTTAACATGAAAATATACTTTTGTCACTACAGATGTAGAACCTTTTCCCATGATAAAGAACAAGTTTCTGAACTGGAAATAGTGCATTGTTCTTAGCATATGTTTTTACAAAGCAGAGATCAAGAATGAGTCCAGAAGGAAAAGAAAAGTTGATGTGACTAAGTGTGCAGCTCACATACGGGCATTATGGTGAGGTGGGAGGTGGAGATTTCATTGTCTTTCTCGTAATCTCATGTATCCACGTGGCACTGGACTTGGGAGTCTCCAACAGAAAGGGAGGAAGGGCCACCAGCCCTTGACACCAGCCAGTGACAGCCGAAGGGCACCGCATCCAGTGCTGTGTGATCGGTTGTCCAGTGACCAGATAGGATTTCTGATGGCGTTTAGCCAAGAATAGCAAGGGAAGAAACTGATTTTTTGGTAAGGAGAAACAATTTCATGGTGTCAACTGTGAGACAAAGCTCTATAGTTCTTAGCAATGAAACCAGAAAAAGAATAATTAGAAGGTGAGTATATAAATAACTTGCATTTTAAGCTTTTTGTAATGCTGGATATTTTGCCTACCAAGAAAAGCATGTTTTATTTCAGGAAATGAAAAATAATCTCGTTCACTTAATCACTGAAGAAGATCTGAAACAAGTCTCCGTTTTAGAAGGTGTTAATACAAGTAAAAAGGATAAAAAAGATGAGCGAAGGCGGAAAGCAACAGGTACTAAGTTACTATTAACAAAGATTCAAAGATGAGCGTTTTTCTAGCTGCGGTGAACTTTGCATTTAAGCTCTTGGAAAGACCTTTTACTTGGTTGATTCACCCTTAACTGCTAATAGTAATCAAATCTTTTACTAGTGAATTAAATTTGATTATGAAAATAGAAATATTGATGATTACTTATTCTGTGTTACTTTGTGAGAACTAAGATAATTTCGTGACCTCACCCACCTCCTTTCTTTCTCCCTCTCATAGTGTTCAGCTCAGGAGCCTTTTTTTAATTCTCAAATTTGTATTCACCTCAGGACCTTTGCACTAGCTGTTCTGGAGTGTTCTTTCCTGAACTTTGAGTAATTGGGTCTTTCTTGTCACTCAGAGCTCAGCTTTAAATGTCAGTGTCTCAGAGAGGCCTCAGAGAGACATAACCACTTGCCATCGTATTATCCCTCCCAGTTTTTTGCATCGCTTTTATCACTGTGATGTGTCTTATGGTGTGGGAACCTTGTCCATCTCATTTATTGTTGTTTCCGTAGTAATTAGAGCATTCCTTTGCATATGTTAGGAACTCTCTAAATGCTAACTAACAAATGAATTTCCCAAGAAGATACTCTTTTTTTAATCTATTTTCTCCATTTAGAGTCACTAGAAATTTTTCTAGGTAGCACTGGTATAATAGTAACTTGCATTTAGAAATTAACATGTATTTTCCATACTTTTTATAGTAGAAACAGTTTTACTAGTAGTTTATCAGGGTTATCCAACATATTTTCATTAATAAATATAACTATATTGACCATGTTTCTCAAAATTAATTGTTTTGCTGTGAGAATTGACCCCTATTTCTTTGACATTGTTTCTTTCCTCTTCAAAAACGTTTTTATACAAAATCTTTCAGTACTGGCCTTTTGAAATTTCTCTCTGTTCTTCTGGAAAACAATAGAGTAAATTACTCCAGTAACTCACAGTAGTATACTGTGAGCTGTGCATATTTTAAAATATTATTTGAAAATATATTTATAAATTCACATTAATCACAATTGGTTGCACTTATGCCAGTATAAATAGTCTGTTTTATGTCCTTCTAAAAATTCAGGGTCGCCTGGTGTTTTGTTCTCATCAATAGTACTATTTCACTGTGATAGTTTAAGTATAGTGTGTGGAATAGTGTTACACAGGAAAGCCTTTGCCATGGGAAACTTGTTGCCAAATGTAAAAAATACATTCAGTTTAGACTTGTGCTTTTGAAAATTGTATTTTTCTATCATAAAAGTAAAGGGAAATGAATTTGAAACTTACAGGATATGAAATCTAAGAGAATTCTACTTAGAATTTAGTTTATATGTCATTGTCTTTTATTGAAGAAAATGAATCTTTTATGAAGAAATACATTTTCTGTCTTTCAATCCCATTATCAGATATTCACATTTGTTGAATAGCTATGTTAAATGTAAATATCTAAGAGCAGAAAAGTGCCTCAATAACATTTTTAAATTAATAACATGTTTTAATTATTTCATAATTTATATATTTGTTTTAGTCTTCATTCAGCCAGTACAGGATTGCTAACTGTATAGTTCTGCTTAACCGACTTAATATTCGTGGTCAACATTTATTGAGCACCTATGTCCAGCACCGTTTTAGCCCCAAGGATACAAATGTTACTGAGACATGCTCCCTGCTCTCAAGAAGTCCTTTACCTTGTTGGGTGATGGGAGTCTACGCATGTCTCCTATGAACGGGGTAATAGCTTTTAAACCAAGAACTAATAAAACCAAGTGTAATAAAACTTACGAAATAACATAATAGGGGTTATTAAAGAGGCTGTGGTAACAGAGATGGGCAAATGAAGCCACATTTCAGTATGGGAAAGGAAAGAAGGTTAAAAACATGTTTTTGGCCAAGAAAAAGTCCAACAAAGCTATAGAAAAGTGTCATTAGAAAAGAAGGAAGAGGCTGCATTTAGAGCAGGTAGGCTTTCTGACTGATCTGCTGAAATTTCATATTTTGTTACTTATTAAATTTTTGAAGTTACAAAGCTTTTGTTTTAATAGAGAAACTAGAACTTTAAAAAGCAGCTGAAAGTTTAATTATTTGGTTTTTATTTTCCTGCTGTGAAGTAGTTATATACAGCCACGCAGTGCCATTGTTTTCTCACCTGGGTCACTTAGTCAGGCAGTCCTAACTGATGTCGTTTTCCACCAGAGGGCAGTGGAAGTGTGAGAGGAGGAGGCGGTGGCAACGCCAGGGAGCACAGAATCAAAAAAGCCAAGAAGAAAGGAAGAAAAGACGACGAGAGCGATGAGGAGTCGCCTCTCACTGGTGTGCAGCCTTATTTTACTCTCCCTTTGTATGCGCGCGACTTTTTAAACATATTTTCTTAAGATACATGCAGTTAGGTACATGTGCCTACGCAGGAAGTCCTTGCTTTGCACAGTTTCCGTGGATACAGGTTTAGTTAAATGACATCAGTCCCCCAACAATAAAGTTCACATTTCCGTTACCAGGGTATATGGACTGTGAGCAATTCATACAGTAAAGACGTGCCTGCTCGCTCCTCGGTCTGCAAATCAGCACATAATTAGCAGATGAGCATCATGATCTATGACAATGGCATCACTTACTTCAAAAGTTTGTCGGTGACGGATCATTGTGCATCTCTTACTCACTTTATGCACACACAACAGAGCGTGCAGTTGTGTTGCCTTCTTGATTCCGTGTGCCATTTTACGAAGTAGATAATCAGAAGGGAACTGGTCAGCAAAGATGAAAGCGCAGCAAAGAAATCACAAGTGATGACGCTGGAAATAAAACGTGTATCAAGAATAAATGGGATTCTAGAAAAAAATGGCTGACTGTGGAATGTTGACCTTGCCGCTGTTGAAGAGACTCTTGTAGCTGGGGAGCCAGAGAGACGTGGTAAAGGCACACTTACTGACGTCAATGAGGAAAGTGGTTGTGGCGAAAAGGGTGGAAGTGTCTTAGAGGACATGAAGTTGGCAGAAAACACTTCTTCAGAGGCATGGTTCACGGTGTTGAAAGGGCAAAGGGTAAAATGTTGGAAGCCGATCCAGAGTAAACGGAGTGTGACAGCTCGCCAAAGCACAGGGAGGATGGGAGGGCAAGCACTGCCAGGCTGTGCTCGAGTCGTTTTACAAAGAAAGAGAACATTTCATCCTCAGTGTTTCTGATGAGCTAAGTGACAGTGTACTCACTTACAAATATTAGTTTTAGTTTTCATTTCCCTATACATTTATAACCAAGATTAAGAGGTGACAGAGAAATCGCAAGTCTTTCCATTGTTTATTAAGAACAATGGGCATAGTTTCAGCTTGCACAGTCATTTTTATGGTCTCCCAGTGCCATGCAAAACAAGTTACAATATTCTATGAAAAGTAGATTTCTGCCATATAAGTAAGAAACATTGATTTTAGACACGTTTAATTTTTATGGTAATGTCTAATTGGTTCTAAGAGGGACAATTGAGTTTATCACTTTTTCTAGACTTGGTAGTGTTTGGTATGGTTAAGTTAGCGAGAAACATCTTACTTTGTTTTTCAAAATACAATTATGATTTTTTTGTTCCTGTTTTTAAAAATTATTGAAACAGATACCTTCTACCTTCTCTTCCCCAGTAAAAAGAAAAAAAAAAACTCGAGATGATAAATGCAGCTTTTTTTTCCTAACTCTTCCGCACAGTTCATTGTGCATGAGCTAGAGCTGGAAGATGTAGGTATGAAATGACGTGACTTTGGCTCTTGTACTACTTCCTGGAACAGCGTAATTAAGATCTGTCTTAAAAGTATTCTAAGATAGGTAAAAATAGTTATTGTTCTCATTGTGCATAAAACAATATTAGTCAAAGGAAAAGTACCTTCATAGACACTGCTTGCCCTACCCTTATCTTAAATATTAGTAAGACTATCCTGTGTGGGTTTTAATTTGCCACTGACAAATGGATTTTCCTATTCCCCAGATATACTAGGAGTGGGAGTGAAGGGGCATTTAACAAAAATACTTCTTTAAATATCTGTAGCCTAAAGGAATTGTTAAATGAGGCATGTGATACTCCTTTTGTGCACAGATTATGGAAAGGGGTTCTAAAAGTAGTAAAACCATTCTACCTAAAAAAAAAAATGTAATGTAATTTCAGTGCTTCTGACAAAGGGCTGTGTTGTAATCTCTGAAGTGGTGGATATAATTAGATTCTCAGCTAAAATGCAGAATCTACTCAGTGTGAAAGATTGCTAAAAGGAAATACAATTTAGTAACTTGGAAAATGAATGCAGGAACTAAAGAAATCAAGCTATTTGGTGTGAAAGATCAGGAATGGATAGCAGATCTTAAAAGTAAGGATAGAACTTGTCTATTCTAAAACGGTCATCTCAACTACTTAGATCTTGATGCACAGTGAAAGTTGATTTTTGAACTGTTTAATTTTTATTTCTAAAGTTTCAGTTTTAGAGTCAGTAACCTAATTTAGCTGTAAATAATCACTTTTATACTTTTATAATTAAGAATGGAAATACTGTTAGCTTTCTTTATCTGTAACCTATATTTTTCCAGGTTAGTCAGTTGGCATGACATTTCCACAATTAAGAATTATTTTCATTACAGTAGCTGCATACAGATTTTCATGGGTACAGAATTACTTTTGTGAGAGCAAAATTTAATTAATTATGGGTATAAAATTAAGGGCTTTTTTAAATCTCTGACTTTCCAAAACAATAATTTTTAGCTTAGTCTGCTGAAGTTGTAGCTCACATGATTATAAAGACTTCCTGAAGATCTTATGTAAATTTTAAGTATGGTTTGATTTTTAGTAAATACTCATTTTTATAAAGAAAGATATTCTGCTCAGTGTCCATTATTTAACAAAGAGAATTGTCCTTACCTAAAAGATTTGTTTCCATCCACTTGACTGTTTTGATTTGGATCTGTTTACACCATCCAAGTTAGATGAGGTGGAAAATCATCTTTTATTCTTTTCTGATTGACTATAGAAAACAGTCATTAAATAAAATCAGAAAATTATTACTCGCTCTATTTCTAAAATTTTTTTCATTAGTTATTTCTATTCAACAGTAGTAATTTTGGTAACATAAAAGTCAATATCGAAATCTTTATGATAAGCAAATCAATTAAGTTACCATCTTACTAAATATGTTAATGGAACCTTATTTACTTTCAGTTGCTTATTTGTTTTTTTTTTTTCCCATTGCTCATTTCTGTTATAGTAAAGAAGAAGCCAGAGATCACTTTTATGTTCCAGGATGAGATTGAAGATTTTTTAAGAAAACATGTGCAAGATGCCCCTGAGGAGTTTATTTCTGAACTTGCCGAGTACTTAATAAAGCAAGTATTAAAATGCATTTTTTCTATTTTATGATAGAAATTCAATGTTATTAAGTAAAATTTAACCAAGATCATAGAAAATATGTATCTTAGGTATTTTCTTTTCAAAGCTTAGAATTTAATCTGGTTACCAAATTCCAGGTTTCTTTTACGTTCAGAGGCAGGTCGATTCAACAAACATTTACGTGCTTCAGGCGAAGCAGTATGAGAAATAAAAGGCAAAAATGTGGAGGCGTCTTTGTTCACTGACCTCCCGGTGCTCGCTGGGAGAAAGACACCTGCCCTGATCACTGGCCGGCCTCTTCCAGAGCGTGGATGGTTAACATCTAAAAGGAAGAGTTCATTTTCTGTCTGGACCTGACAGAGAGTAAACTGTACACTTTCAGGGAGGCATAGCACACTGCCCTCAGAGAGAATGAAATGAGGCAGCACCTTGTAAATGAGCCAGGCTAAATCCGTTTTTATACAGAAGTAAAAGAAATTGTGTATAATGTGACTCTCACCAACATGATCTTCCTTCACGTTAGTCCCAGTGGGCAAACTTCTATAAATGCAATCCAGGAGCCCAGGGCATCTGAGTTTTAAGTTTAGAAATATAGCTCTTGTAGTGAGAGTTTTTAAAAATGTAAGTGTGTATGTATTGTGCATGAATATATTACATAATCCTGTTTTTCATATGTAACAAGATAAAATAATTCCTACTAATCATTTGCCGTTACTTTTTAAAATAATCTGTTCTGGGTTGTTGACCATACAGAGGTTTGTTTAAATACATTATCTTTTATAATACTTCAGAAACTGAGAATTTATTATTCCAAAGGAAGGGGAACAGATTTTTGGTCTATTCTACAAATTAATCTTAAAAAGCTGCTTTGAATTAAAGGTTCTGTTGTTGTTATCCTTTAGTGCAGTAACTATGAGTACTTTAGAACTGAGAAAAGTAAGGCATTTAAGTTATAATTCCTGCAATTAGATGACAAATTCTTGTGAACTCTTCTCCCAATTAATCTGTTAAAAAAAAAAAAGCTTTTCTTAAGCCTAGTTTCCATAGAAGCAAAATTTCTAATCTACATAAGGTTAGTACATTTTAATAAACTAAATATATTTATCTTGTGCACAGACCTCTTAATAAAACTTACCTTAAGGTGGTTCGTTCCGTATTCATGTCTTCAACCTCTTCTGCCTCTGGAACCGGCAGAAAGCGCACAATCAAGGACTTGCAAGAAGAGGTTTCAAACCTATACAACAATATTCGGTTATTTGAAAAAGGGATAAAGTTCTTTACAGGTATACTTGACACTATTTTTATGTCAATTTCCATAATTGTTCTTGGATATCCATCTTAAGAAGACCATTTTCTTTTTCCAGATGATACACAGGTCGCTCTTACCAAACACTTGCTGAAGACAGTGTGTACTGATATCACCAACCTCATTTTCAACTTCTTAGCTTCAGACTTAATGATGGCAGCGGATGATCCTGCAACCATTACAAGTGAAGTACGTGAGTGGTTTTCTTGCCATTCTTGGTGTGTTTTGTTTTGAAATGTGCTCATGTTTTAGTTTCTCGCATCTGAAAGAGGCTAAAAGGAAAATAAAATATAGGAAAGTGTTTTCAGAAAAACACCTGTAAGATTTTTAGTTCAGGTTTCGTACAGTGTGCATGTATATAGCTGCTAGCAGGATTGGTAATATAACCAGACTGTTAAACGATGCTCGATTACTTTGGAATCAAGTTTTATTTTTTCCTAAGTATCATTGTATCAGGTTCCTTTTTTCTGCTGAGTTGCCAGTCTCTCAACAACGTTCTGCCAGATACCATAGCTTTGCAGTCACAGCCTTCAGTAACACCATCTCATTTCAATATTCAGACTCATTCTAGTTCATGTTTAAAAATTCTAATCTCGAACTGAATTCAAAACTCGTCCCTTCCCTTGCAGTGTAACATAGAGCTATTGCTCCAGGTTGCCTAGAGGAGCAAAGGTGTGGTCTGTCCCTAGGACTCCACCTGCAACTCCTCCTCTCCCTCATCCTTCTAGAGCCACTTGAAGTTGGAGATTTTTAAAAAATGAAGGAGGCAAAGTGCCCTCATGTGTGTCTATATCACTAGCTTTGATTTAGGCCAAACCAAATCAGTGTAACGCCTATGGCCCCTTGTGATGCAGCTATTCCCACATGGGTGGCAGTCTGGGGGGATATTTCAGCACCATGTGACTCCCTCCCGTAGCAAGGCCCTCCTCCCCCTCAATCTCCAAACAGAGGACATTTCTCTCTCCGTCCTACCCCAGCAGGGTGCTGTTCCTCTTTCCTTCCTCAGCTTGGCAGACACTCCCCAGCTGCCTGGACAGCTCCGTGCATCCCACCCTGCACCAGCCTCTGCAGTGGGAAATACAGGGGATCCTGTCCCATGCCTTTCAAGGGCCACAGAAGGATTGGTGTGGTCACCTAAGGCTTCTAAGACACACTGTGACCTTCAGGGCCTACTGGCCACGCCATCCCAGTAGGCCTCCTCTAGAGATTTCGCACTAGAAGGAGCCCTCAGACTCTGGTCAAGAGTGCATCAAACCTCACGAGTCATGTCTGTGTGGAGAGAGGTGCTGGAAAGGTTCCACACGCCAGATAGCACCACGAGCACCCGTCCGCAGAGCCCGTCCCCGGGCTTAGAGGCATCCTTGGGCTCTGTGAGTAGGGCCTCCCTCACCGGGTCAGGGGGAACAGGGGGTGACCTCTGACCCCAGTCTCTTTTCCCCACACTTGAGTGTTGCGCTCACCCCTGCCGTTCTTGCTCTGACATGCACTCTCTCCCCCCGCCACTCTGTCTCTGTCTCTGTCTCTCCCTTTCTCTCTCATCCTCTCATCTTCCTCTTATACAGCTGGAGCCTATTGGCCAGCATTCTGGTTTTAGAAGGTTTTTAGTGTATTATTATCCCTGATTTGAAACCTAAAATGCAAGAACAAGATAAACTCCACTCAGCATTCTGTTAAAGCAAAACATGTGTTTTTTCTGTTTTTGTTTTGTTTGATCTTATATCCACCAAATGTCAAAGGCACAATCCCAAAAGAATTTTTTTTCCCCCATAGGTAAGAAAAAAAATTTTAAGTAAATTACCAGAAGAAACTAAAGTAGCCCTCACAAAACTCCATAGCTCTCTGAATGAAAAGGTAAGGAAAGTTTGATTCTGTTTAGATTTGAGAGCTAGAATTTGTGATCTTTGAGGATACTTTTATTAGAATAATTGTACACTATCTGAAACTAGTCTTCTGCATTCAGATACCTCTTTGGGAGCTGAATGGGGAGACCATGCTGGGGTGTTTTACCTTCTTTAGACCTAAATCACAATTTCAAATTTAATGGCAAAATGACATTTTTAAAAGTTATATTTAGAGTGTAAAATTATGGAACAGTACCAAATGGCTGTATTTCTTTAGCCAACCTAATTACAGTAGTAAGTCACAGTATTAAATACCTTTTCAGAGTGTAGAAGACTTCCTTTCTTGTCTGGATTCTGCAGCAGAAGCTTGTGATATTATGGTGAAAAGAGGAGATAAGAAAAGGGAAAGGTAACATTGCGTTAACATGTATTATTAATAAATTCCTAGATGTGTGATATTTCGTTTTGGAAATTGGAATTTGACTATCTGAACCTTGCATGGAGAACTGTTGTATCTAAATAGCTGCAGACTTCAAGCATATGCAGTCTTATTTATTAGCTTTGAGATCTTGTAGGAAACCTTATTTAAATCAGTGCACTTGTATTTGATCCCAAATAACTCAAAACAAAAAGCATACTTCGAGGATGCTGTTACATTGTTTTTGCTATTATTTTCTAGTGTCTTAGCTTATCCAGGCCATTTAATATTATGTGTGTCTGTATCCCATATTTAACAGGTCCTTTAAAATGTCTATGGATCCATCTAAAAATGATGACAGAAGGCAAGAGCTGAAATTCATGAGAACTTGTTCAATATGACAGTGTGTTTGTGTGACTCTGTTCTTGTTTAGGCAGATACTGTTCCAGCATCGACAGGCACTGGCTGAGCAGCTCAAAGTCACAGAAGACCCTGCCCTTACCCTGCACCTCACATCGGTCCTGCTGTTTCAGTTCTCAACCCACAGCATGCTCCACGCACCCGGAAGATGTGTCCCACAGATCATTGCTTTCCTTAATAGTAAAATTCCAGAGGTATTATATTTTCAATGTGCTTGAAACTTTTAAAGCTTTTAGATTCTGAATGTTTTGATTAGATAGATGTGAATCATTGTGAACATAAGTCACAGAATATACTAACATCATCCTGCCTCCAATAATGATAACAGTGAATTAAGAGATTGATTTTTTAAGTTCAGCATACTTAAGAATCTTAAAGGATCCCATAGGATCCCTGGTAAAGAATATTCTGAATTTGGATATTAAGCACTTAGAAAAGATATAATAACATCCAGTCTTTCATTTTAACCTGTCCTTCAGGGACCAACTCAAAAAGTCCCATCTTGTATAAATTTTTCTGAGAAACTCCTCAGCTAAAAGTAGTTTGGCTTCTTTGAATTTCCATGTCACTTTGACAGTATCTTTGGTGATAGAACCTAGTTAAGTTAACTTACATCAAAGTGCCCTGTATTCATGTTTCATCGCCTCTTGAACTGTAATCTCCTTGACAGCAAGGACCTGGCTAGAATCAACTCTCTACTACATGACCAGGAATACGTAAAGATGAGGACCTTCAGTGTGTACTCGTTGAACAGATGCTTTGTCCACAAAAAATTAAATCATGTTCATTAACTTCTCTTCTCCTTTCCCATTTCACAGGATCAGCATACTCTTTTGGTAAAATATCAAGGTTTGGTTGTAAAGCATTTAGTTAATCAAAATAAGAAGACTGGGCAGGGAGATGATCCCCTAAGTGAGGAGTTAGACAAAGAACAAGAAGATATCACCAATGCTACTCGTAAAGAGCTTCAGGAACTTTCTTCATCCATTAAAGACCTTGTTCTCAAATCTAGGAAATCATCTGTGACAGAAGAGTAATGATCTTAATTTACTTTTGTCATCTAGTAAACACTTTTCCCCAAAGTTAAAGGTGAATGGTTAACAAAAAACTGCTCATTTTACAATCCCTGATCCCCCCTAATAGCCCTCTTCAACACACAGGTCAGTTAAAATAGAAATGTACTCATGTAAATATTATAAAAACATGAATTTTTGTAAATTAGGTTCACCGTGGAAGATTCCTTTTCACATTATAATTCTAAAAATTATACATTTTAGGTTTGTTTTCTTTCTAGATGCTGACCAAAAAGTAAGTTTTCTGGTATCTTTCATCTCTAGGAAAGGAACCATATATTATTAGATTTCTGGTGACATCATTAGGCAGGAACTTAAAATGTCATGTTTTTTAAAAAAATAATACCCTTTTGGTAATGAAAATCATTTACTTTATCTTACAATTAATAAGAGAAGACTTCAAACCTAAAATACAGAGATTTGCAAAATATTTTATTACTAAGCCCTTGCTCTCATTTCTGGCAGTTAGGGGGCCTCCCATCTCCCCCACAGGAATGGAAACTTTTTATGGTTCAGGGCTTCAGGGAGGCCTGTACACGAACAAAAGAATGCCAGGGGGACCCAAGCACTGCTCTTCTCGACCCAGATGCTAGCAAGAGTGAGAGGACAAATGAAATTTACTTCAAAGACATTAAGTTGCATTTGTCATTAAAATAAGTAAAAAATTTAATACAAATATTTTTCTTGAACACAGTATGCATTTCTAAATTTCACTTTTTATGTCTATAGTCACTTTAGCACCTAGTTCTTTGTTGTAAGGGAATCTATAAGTGCATGTAAGTCATTGAACTGTTTTTTATTTTTTCAACAATAGAAACTCAAGAAAGAAGATAGGTATTCTTGTTTTCTAAAGATGATTAGTACTTAAAACTAAAATAGTCCTTGGAGTAATCATTTCAACCAATGGGGTTTAAGCAACAATTTATTATATATCAAAAAGTGATTTATTTTGAATATAAGTAAATTAAATTTCAGATATTAAAAAAATACTATTTTATATAATTCCTTATATGGCATTTAAAACTCTCTGTTTTCAAATGTTTGAATACAAAGATCAGTCTACCTCTAATTATGGACAAAGTATTCTAGACAAAGTGTTGCTAACTAAGCATTATTATTAAAGTTGGTAGGAATATAACAAATTAAAAAATGTTTTTCCATGGGTAATTTTCTATTAGTTTACTTCCGTATGGGCAAAAGAAGAAAAATGACAAATCCTCTGTGACCACAAAGTCCAGTTAGTTTTATTTGTTTATTCAGCTTCCAAAATATTGAACACCCAAGCTTGTATTTTTATTCTGTCTTTGTTTAAGGACCTTATCATTTATGGCTCAGCAGATATCAAGGTAATCCACATTTGTATAAAACTAGATTATAGATAGTAAAGCAAATAAAATCATTCTTTCTTAATATGTGAAAATAAAAATAAAGCAACACTAATAAAAAGAAAGCTATTCTGTCTTATTTTGTTCGCATTTAATTTTTTCATTTATCAAAATGGTTCTTATTTTTCCACAGTGTATAAGTCGCATTGTTTTTGTAAATAAAATTACGGAGTTCATTTTGTATGTAAAGATCTAATTTCATTAATAAAATAAGAATTGTTAAATCTTTACTATGATCTTAATGGGAAGATTTAAGAATGTTATTTAAAATAAAGTTGCCTATTATTTCTATTTTATGGTACTTTAGAGCTTCCATTATTTTAATTGCTACAAGGATTAATCTATGCATATATTATATATAATGTATTTAGATTTCTTAATTCTTATTCTGAACATTTTTAAAGTATTTTATTATATTTTCTTACACAGAAATAGTAGCATAGTCCTTAGTGGCTTTCATTCCTAGAAGGATTGCCATTCGTGATCCGTTTCCTCTCCGAAGATCATTCGCAGTTAGCTAGGTTTCGGCAAATGCGCAGCTATATTCTTATATCTGCTACTTCTTCCCACTGCAGGTAAGGTAGAGATACTTGGATCACGTCCTCGGCTATTCGGGTTCAGGCGTTCCATCTCCGTTCCATGTGGTTTTGAAGAGCAGGGAAAACCCACTGCTGGCTGTCAAAGATTCAGAGAAGAGCACCATTATCTTACCAAAATCACAGTGTATTTTCAGAAAATCCCTGATGCTAAGTTAGAACAATGTATGTAGAAGTTGCTTAACCTGGTTGTAGAAACATCCTGAACTTTCTAGAGAATGTATTTTAATCATCAAAGCACCAAGGGTGCAAAGTGCCATAGCGATCTGAAGTATAGTGCAGCCCCTGGATGGAAAGGGAACAATTCCTTCCTTCCTTAGAAATGTTACTCAACCCAGGGCCAGGAGGGATTGTTTCTCTATCAAGAATTAACTTTGGGAGTTGGGGAGGGGAGGAGGAAGTGGAAGGGCTGCAGTATTTCATGCCAAAGAAGCCTTTTCCCCGGTGTATTTGGGAGATGAACTAAAACATGTATAAACCGCTCTGGGATGTACATTTTCCACAGAAATTTGGGGGCACTATTAAAGTGGCTATTCAAATGACCTACAAAGTCACACCAGCTGCTCTGCCTTGAAGGCCACGCTAAGCAAATAAAGGAATAAACAGATCCCAGGAGACACTTCTTCCGAGCCATCTAAGAAAAAAACCCTTCCAGACTTTCAGAAACAGTGTTTATTCCACTTACATCACAAAGAAGCAATAACTACTTTAAACTGCTGTAACAAATTATGTAAGTTCCCAGTGTTGTGTTTATTGTTTGTTTAACCAGGCTTGCCTCTGCTTACAGGACTCTCCTTCTCTCCAGTGACCAGTAGTAAGACTTACACAGGATGTGTGTGTCAGCAGGAGGGAGGGGGTCACCGTGTGTAGTAGAGGAAAGGACGGACGTGGTGAACTTAAACCCTTGGATCACCAATCTCCTGGATCCTGTATGGCAGCCAAGTACTAGGAATGCAAGAATAAGTGTTAAAAAATATGCCTTGTTTCCAAAGAGGTGGCAAAAAGTCAATAATTTTGTTCAATATAGTGTTTTGAAACAAGAAGAGGATGCTGCGGAGAAGTGGAAGTCAGACTTGCACAGCAGGGAAAGGAATTGAACAGGCTGACCTGAACTGAGTCCCAAGAGAAAGGTAGGACTAGCTCCGTGAAAATAGGGAAGGAGTGGCAGGCATTTCTGGGCAGAGAGGAGACTCAAAAGTACTAAGACATAAAGCTAGTATGAAATAATGAAACATTTGGGGAACCCCAAACTGAGAAGTAAAAGTGGTCCGGGCAAGTAGGGTAAGCTGAAGCTGGAGAGAGGAGAGGGAGATGCTGAAACGCCGTACACACTAAGATAAAAAGTTTAGTTTAACCATTATGCTAAAAACAAGGGGAGCCTTTGAAAGACTGTCCAGGAAATAGGTGATTAAGATTTGCCTTTTGGAAAGATCATCCATTCTGAAAGGCAGTTGGACAATTCACCGAAATCCTTTAAAATACATGTATTATTTGTGAAATCAGTATTTCCCGTTTCTGAGGTATGTGGACTTAAAAATGTGCACAAGTCTTTTTCCCAGCCTCTGCTAGAAAAGGAACACGAATAGCATGTCTTGCATAGAAAGACAATCTTCCTGGCTTTGAAGTATTTTTGTTTATTCAGATGCTTGTCTACCAAAGAAACACATTTTTTTGACTAGTCATGAGTACAGACAAATGTCCCAAAGGTTTCCTTTTATATTTCTTGTTATTCAATGAAAAGAAGAAAAAATAATTTAGCAAATTGTTTGCATACAAGTATGCAAACAATTTGCAAACAATGAGTTTGCAAACAATGAGTTTCATTATTTCATACTAGCTTTATGTCTTTACTGACTTAAAAGGTAGCCTCAACTTTATTGTGTAGACTTACGGGTTGGATAATTGCTTGAAGGCATAACTCAGGGTTAATATACAATGTTCAGTTGTTTAAATAGTATCTAATAAATGTAAGTGAACTTAAAGTAAGTGCTCTATATTTTTCTGCTTCTCTCTTTCATACCTAAATCTAAGTCTCTGTGATTCGTACTTTATAAATGCTCAGGATGAGCTTTGATGTGAAAGAAAACGAGAAAGGAACCCTATTCCATAGTATATTTCATTAAGTTGCAGCCATTATTCACAGTCACTTTCAACATACTTGACTTCACAAAATTTCAACAAAATTATTCACAGTATATTAAGTAAAAAAAAGATACAGAATTTTATATGATGTGGGCTTCATTTTCTAATTAAATTTATTGTCTAACTAGAATTATATAAACATTTGCCTAAAATATTTCCATAAACATTTTATTGTAGTTATGTGCCTGCATACATAATATTCTAAAGGGATTTAGGTGAAGATTTGGGCTGTGGCTGTCCCCTGGGTTGCAAGTCATTTTAAATTATATTCTTTTCAATTTTTTTTATTGAAATATACTTTATATACAATATTGGTTTCAGATGAACAACTTAGTGATTCATCAGTTATATATATTATTGAATGCCCACCATAATGTAGTTACCATCTGTTGCCATACAAAGATGTTACAATATACTTTTTCAATTCTTATTAACAGATTTTCTGCAGGAAGCATGTATCAGGCATTAGGGAAATTGACCCCCGGATAGTGGAAAATCAATGTATAACTTTTGACTCTCCCAAAACTTAACTAAAAGCCTACTGTTGGCCAGGGCCTTCCCAGTAGCATAAACAATTAACACATATTTTGTATATGTATTATATTCTGCCTTCTTACAATAAACTAAGCTAGAGAAAAGAAAATGGTTTTTCAAATTGCAAATCTCCAAAAAATTTTCCACTATAGTTGTTGAAAAAAAATTCACATGGCAGTGGACCTGTGCCATTCAAATGCTGTTTCAGGGTCAACTGCATTTTATAATTCAATAAACATTTAAAAATATATATCGCTGCACAGCGGTGTAGAGAGAGAATCGAGAGGGAGCCAACTGAGGCGGGGGCCAAGTATTGTACGACTGATAAAATAATCCAAGTGAGAATGTGAGACTCAGAATCCAGAGAGGAAAACAAATTTGAGAGAGAGATAACAAAGCAGCACCAGCTGAAGTCGGGGATGGGGATAAATGCTGGGAATGCTGGAGAATAAGTGAGGAAAGGGAGCGGTCTGAGATGACCAGTTGGACGCCAGTGCCATGCCCTGAGACAGGAAACACAGCGGACTAGCAGGTTAGGGGTGGGGAGAAGACCAGAAGGTTTATCTGGGACTGTTGAAGATGCCTGGGAACCTCAAGACAAAGATGGCCAGCAGACCACAGGATACGTGTCTGGAACCTGAGAGACTGATGACAGTTGAGAGAAGAGGTTTGGGAGGCCTAAGTGTTGTCTTCATAAGCCCCGTGGAGAGTGCACAGAGGAGCATTTTGAACTGAGGATGAAGCTGCAGGGAAGGGTGAGGTGAATAAATGAAGACAAAACTGAGACGCTAAGAGCAAGGAAGAAATTAGCGTGTTATTTACTGTAACTGAGGGAAGAGAATTTCAAAAAAAAAAAAAAGAAAAGAACTAGACATAGCCAGAGGTGAGAAATTTCAGGTAAGATTAAAGAAAGTGCGCTTTGGGGTGCTAATTAAGATCTTTGATGAGCTTAGTGAAGCTTTTTGGTGGAGTGATTCAAGTGGAAGACGGATCGCAATAGTCTGAGGGAGTAGGGATCAGTGAATGCAGTCACCCTCTCAGGAAGCATGGGTATAAACAGAGAGGGTGACCCATAGCTAGATGGAAGCGCACGCAATTTATTCTCTCCAGGATTCCACTTCCTCGCCTATGAAAAGAGAAAAACAATGCCTGTCTAGCAGTGGTGTCACGAGGATTAAAGTCTATTGCTCATTGAATGAACTTGTGTCCTTCCACTGAATCAATTTGTTTCTGCTAATCACGTTTTCATTTTCATATCTTCATCATCAAAGTCAACTGAATAACAAAGCGCTGAGTTGATTGTCTTTGCATATCCCTGGCTCCAGTTTTTGATTGTATATACCTGAGTTTGACCTCAGAAAATATTAATATGTCATTCCTTTAGCACTAAGAACAATAACAGTTTAACTTTGGTCTGGGAATGAATGGAGTTGTTGGCAGAGCATTCCTTCTCTCACACCACCTTACAGACCAAAGAGAGAGATGTCCTCAAATGGAGACTCTAGAAGTAAATGTCACTCACATTATGAATCACTTTAACCTACTGAGAATTCCTGTTGTGGATTAACTCAGTATTCAAATACTTCTTCAGATCCAACTCTTAAAATCTCTAGCCACTTTTCATGTTTTGAATTGGAGATTGTCAAAAGACCTGCAATGCTTAAATCAAGTCACATAGCTACAGACATGACATAACAATCATTTCCTAAGTCCACAGGCAGGCAGAGGAAACAGGTAACCACCTTGAGTTATTATTCTCATCAAATCCAAGGCTCAAGCCTCCTGAATTTCCCTGAAAAGCTGTGGCAAAGGCCACAATCCAGGGTTCATCTCTCAAGCTGCCAAAAATCCTGCAGCTGAGAACATGGGGTCTCATTTCTTTCCAGACAATGCAACAAAAAAGCTCCATAGTTCGGCCATTTCTTACCTAAAAGAGTTCTGATAGTCACCAGAAAACAAAATAAAACAAACCAAAAACCTAGATTAACCAAGAAAAGAGAAAATATATCATCTTTCTGAGTGTTTTAGAACACGCCCTTAATTCCACCTGGGCGCTGGACACCTCTGAAGTGTGTGTGTGAGCGTCTGTACGTGCACTTTGTACTGTAAACTTTTTGCAGCTTTTCCAAATACTTCAAGTACTAACCCTAAGGCAGGATTTCCCTTTAAGGAAGTAGGGCAAAGAATACGTTATTCATAATTTTAAGTAAAAATTGACAAGGAGTGCTTTCCCAGCCCAGCGGAGTCAGCTACGCGCATGCCACAAGGCCTGGAGGAAACCCACTCTCCGTCCTTTCTTCTCCCGCGAAGCTGAGAGAGCTGCCGTTGGGCGGGGCTGTCAGACAGCTGGGGGCCCGCGCTGTTCTCTTTGCAGTTCACATATGAATGTGTTGGAGGGGAAGGAATCATATATTCTCCTTTCTTAACTGTTTAAATCACAGGAAGAAGCAACTTTAAGAAAAAGTAAGTTTTGTTTTTTTAATGTTTCCTTTGTCTTTTTTATGTGGTATTTTGGCTTCTTAATTTCGCTTAAGTATAAGAGATTCTTATAAACTCCAGTGGACTGCTTAAGAGAAAACTTGCCCTTGACAAGTAAGTATGTATCTTGAAGTTTCTTAGAAACATTTTTTAAAGCTATTTGAGCCAACAGTGAACAAATTTTATAGTCTTAGCTTTTCAGGTTTTTCATTTTGATGATATATGCTTGTGGAGACAACATAATAATAGCCATGTAACCCTGGAGTTAGCCCCTGAGTTCTGAAAATGGTCTTTATACACAGGGGCAGAACTTTGTGATCATAAACAAGGAAAGTGGGATGCTGGGGTCTTATTTGGCTTAATTTATTTGAATGATTAACTGTACCACAGAGGGGATTTTATAGTTGACTTCATATATCCAGAGCACAATTTGAAGTCATTTACAGACTTTAAGTGAGTTGGTGAAATTCCTGCTCTTTTTTAGAAAAAAAAAAAATCTGCCTTCTTTTCCAAAATAGGCATAAAAAGAATTCCTGATCTTAGGTTTTCTAAGATTGTGTTAAGTTCTCTGTGTGTCTGGCTCACACAGACAAAATACGCTACGTGAACCTAAAGCACTGCTTGAAACTAAACTAGCATTACTTACACAAAAGCACGCATCGCATACGTGTTCATGCTTTCTTCAAAACTGTTTCAGTCAGACCCTCACTGGTGTCTGTCAACCATTTGAAAACCAAATGCAACTCGCCAGCTGTCAATCTGGGTTTCAGAAATGTGGGAACCAAAAAGAATCATTAATAAAATGTGTGAGTCTTAAAAACAAAATGCAAGAAATTCCCTCAAGTCATTTTAGCTGTCATTTCACATCCACCACCATCATGTATAAATTCCAGCACTTTTATTAGCAAAGTAAATGGATTAAAATATAGCACAAATATTGCAAACATATGTATTATACAAGATATTCCTTAACATA